AAAATGGCCTTCGGGCAATAGTTTTACAATTATTACTACTCATAAAAACATGTAATTTATTTTACACTTGAAACGAATAAATTTTTGAAATATATTTAAAAAATATATACATTCCAATGTCTTAGCTTTTAAAAATTAAATAAAAATAATAATAAGTGTACAACATGAAATATGCGCTTTTTAAAATATTTTTTTTGATATATGGTTCACAATCCCTAAATTTTTATTATTATTATTCCCTGTGCATCGATTAACTCCTAGGGACCTGAATGTCCGAATGACTAGAGCTCTGGCCCTCGATGCCACAGGTTTCCGGTTCGAATCCCGCCGGTACCATGGAGGTTTATAGTGGTTTGGAATCCCTTTTAAGATGCAGCTCTCGGTCTAATGTGATAGTAGAGCGTTGGGCGTAGGGCTGACAACTCTACCCCGTAAAAAAAAATTAACTTCACGGAGCTAAGTCATCAACTTATGGGTGCTCCTTCACCACAGAAGTTGTCCCCTTACCTTTCAACAAGGTGCCCACGGGTTCGTGGTCCAGATGTCTACCAAGTGGGATAAGAAATAACAACAACATCGATGGGATCCGTGTTCCATTTACGCATGCAATGAACACACCAATGATGGACAATTAAGAAAAGAATTTTTAGGGATAAATGCCTCGCATTTGCACGTTGTGTGGAAGAATCTCAGAAAATTTCCATTGGATTTTGTGACTATCGATGCACTTTACACACAGTCGTCAATGAGTCTACTCGTTTCTGAATGAAAGGCTGAAACCATCAGCAGATTCGAAGTTGAGATTTTGCAAGCCCGCCCGATTCGTCGCTCAGTGGTAACGTGCGCCGCTGGTGAGCATTAAGGCTCGTGCTCACCAAGGCGACAAGATGCAAGCGAAAAGATTTGACCAATCACTAGCCTCACCGCGGTCGCTTGAAACCGGTTTGCAGTTCGCCGCTTGGAGTTGCCCAACTTTCAACTCGAAGCGGTTTTTCACTAGGCGTAATGCTATTTCTGACGTTTCGCTATGAAGGGGTCGAAAAAATTTTGTCGCTTGCCTGTTGAATCTTCACGTCTCTCGCCTTGGTGGGAACGAGCCCTTAGGGCGGAGGTTCACACCATTGGCGGCTTTGTTGTAGACACTGTCTCAAAAACGAGGTGCCTCGATGGCTTTTGTAATGTTCAGCATCTTTCCTCTTTAGTTGGACTACTTGGTGAAATTTTCCGAGTTTCTCCATACGATACGCAAATGCGAGGTAGCTCCCGCTAAAAATCTTCCCGGAAGGCACTCTTCTTTCTTCAGCAACACGTAGTCAAGTCAGAGTTCTACCTACGGGAGTTCCACCCCAACAGAAACTGCCCCTTTCCCTTCATCCATGAGTAGATTACTAATGGGATGCCCATCCCACACTGCAGGACACTGAGGATTAGACACAACAACAACCACTAAGCCCGCGAGTTTCATCCCATTTTTATTATTTAGTGCACTGATTTATAAATGAGTACAGCAAACAATTTATCCGGTAAAGCTTATTCGAAACATATAAATTTTTCATCATACGTTTTACTAACATCACAGTAACGATCAATGTCACTTACTTAAAAAAAATTATTAAAGAATTTTACCGAGCAATTTTTTAAAGAAGTTATTAGTAAAATCCCTAAGTTGGTAATTAGAAAATAAACTTGGTGTCTTTAGAGTCATCAAAGTTTAAGTTATAAAATAAAACAAATGAAGTAAAAATGAAAAATAAACCTTTCAAATCACTTATATTTATGTTTCGTATCTTATTAGACAAATTTCAAATAGGTAAAAACGTAAGTTAAGAAACTAATTATCGGAAATTGTGCTAAAAAAAATTGAAAGAAATGCTAAAAAGGTTTTGACAACTTAAATAAAACAAGGAAATAATGATAATTGGAACGTTAGTGTGTCAGCGGAAGTTCATGGAGCTCATGCAACTTTTTATGCGAAGATTTACATTAAGCTCTAAAGATGGAAATATTGCAGTATTTTTATAAGATATACTGTTTATAAAACAGTTTTTAATTTAGGAAACAATTATAATAACTATCATAAGTAATGTAATGAGAGTAAGTCCCATTACATTTAATTTTTAGCTGTCAATTTTGCAACTGAGTAAACATTTTAACTACATAAACACTCAATTAAAAAAATAAAATATTTTCCATAAAAAAAAGAGCTTTTTAATTCCTCGAATTAAGATATAATAATAATAATATATCTAACTAATATGGATAAGTATTATACATTTATATGTATATATATATATATGGATTTGTAAAAACTGCCAAAATGTCTTTATTTTAATAGTATAAATAATATTTTTTACTTTTTTTGCAAAGAAATTAAGTATATTTTTATTCTAAGAAAATATTGGTTATATTATAATGATATTAAAGGAAAATAATCATTAAAAAATTATTTAATTATTAATAATATATTATTTTATTTTATTATATATTTAAGTATGTAGAGAGAGTGATACTTAAATATATATTTTATTAAATAAATTTGAAAATTTAATATTTTATTGATTATTTTCCCTTAATATCATTGTAATATAACCAATATTTTATTAGCATAAAAATATATTTAATTTCTTTGCATAAAAAAGTAAAAATATTATTCATACTATTACAATAAAGGCATTTTTTGCAGGTTTTCATAAACCCGATACACTTATTTTTAAAAGTGAAGGTAAAAATCAAAAGCAAAAATTTTTCATGGCACAATCTTATCATTACAATACCTTTTCCCATAAATACTTTTGCGTAAAAATGATCATGAACATTTAAATATTTTCTGTCAAAAGCTAGTGAAAATAACAAAAAAATAAATAAATAAATAAAATAAGAAATAAAATTAAAATTAAAATTAAAAATAAAAACTTCAGATAAAATTAAAAAGAATTTAACCAAACTTTCGAACCACGTGTGACACTTTTGGTAATATTATTTAATACATTCAAACCTTCAACTGATTTAGAGTCGAATACAATAAAGGTATATTTGTAAATATAAAAAGTTTCCTTACGAGTTGCGGTCGCCACCGACAGAAATCCAACCAAGATCCACAACATTGTCAATCAGTGTTTGGAACCTGAATCTCGCATCTCACTCAAGACTTTACCTTAAGTAACCCCTGAATATAGGAAAAAAAAGAGCAGCGATTGGTCGCGTCTGGAGTTACGTCACAAACAGGAAAACCAAGATTCCTCTAATTGGACGCCGCTTCCGATTCGTTCATGAAATTTGAAACAACAATCGAACATCAGTGTCAAAAGAAAAGAAAGAAAGAAAAAGTAGAAAAATAAATAAACTTTGTTGAAAGTGAAAGTAAATTTTTGTTTTGAAAATAAAATTTTAATTCCATTTAATTTTTTTTTATTATTTAAAGCCCCTTGAAAATAGTTGCACAGGAAGAGTTTATATCAGTCCTCAACAATTTGTATCAAAATTAAATGATACCGGCATTGGGACAACAGGATAATAAACAGGATATTCGTACCCTTTTAAATATTATTAATTATGAGATGAAAACAGCAATAAAACTTCTATCGAGTTTCTTAAATAGTTCGACTTTAACAATACTACTAAAAAATAAATATTTAGAATTAAAATTAATTACTATTTCTTAAATAAAATTATGTTTAGAAACAAATTTTGAAAATAAAAGAGCAGGGTTGGAAGTTACAAAAATAAATCTTCTAGAAAAAAATTACTTTATAAAGGGCCATTTCAAAAACACAACGAGTACGGTAGAGGTTCTATTTGATATATATGTAGTTATTTATAGTTTAAAGTAGATTCCGAGTCACTACAAACATCCATGACCCAGCCTGGACTCGAACCCGAAACCTGTGGAACCGGCAGCCAGAGCTCTAGTCACTCGGCCATAAGCCACACATACAGCAGCTTGTTGACCGAGTGATTAGAACTCTGGTATTCGGTGTCACAAGTATCGGGTTCGAGTCCCAATGGTGCATGAATGTTTGTAGTGATTCGAAATCCACTTTAAAAAGTTGATCCCGTCTAATATGACTGCATAGCATTGGGCATAGGGCTGACAACCCTACCCTGTAAAAAGAAACCATCTTTTGTCTCGAAATCTGCCAATAGACGGACGGCCTTGCTCCACCATGGGACTGTTGAGCCAATGAAGAAGATATATACAATTTAATATAATATATAAGTTTATTTAATAAATGAACTTTCGAATATTAGAAAATTATTTTTTGTTCAAGGTTTTATTATAGTCTAAAATATAAGATCTTTTATTACCAACGTGCTAGCATGAATGCGGAGACCCTATATACATAATATTTTATTTATTTTGACCATTGTCACTTATTGCCAAAACCATTTATCGCATTAAATAGTACATTAAAAGCACAAGTCTGTTTAGATCAGTATAGTTTTGTAATTTTTAGGCAGGAATATAAAAAAAATGGTAATTAAAATACGTTATTACAAAATTCGAACCAAATATTAAACACTTATTAAATTAATGCAATATCACGCATCAAATTCTTTATTTGCATTTATAAAAAATGAAATATATATAGGTTGTATACTCTTCAAATATTTCCTTTATGTGGCCCGCGGCCAAGTTCAAATAAATATAATACTTATCAGTGCATTCCTGAACTAACACTTGTAATTATTTACTGCATACATTTGTTTAAATAATGCTGAATTTAATTAGTTGCCTATGAAAATAAAGATAATGATTTTTTTTTTTTCATTTAAATTGTTCGAAAAGCTTTTTTTGGAAATCATTTTTATTCTGATAAAAAAAATGGTTAAATTCTTTTGTATTACTTTTCTGTATATTTGAGTTTAATTATACATCAAATTTTTTGTACACTATATTGAATTGATACTACAACTAGCATGTAAACATAAGCCACGGTATAATTTTTAAGAAGACATCGTAAAGTCAGCGAGCGTAGTGCAAGACTACAATAAACAAGCCAACGGGCATACCATGCTGAATATACCGGTTCTCGTTAGATCACCGAAGTCAAGCATCATTGGGCACGGTCAGTACTTGGGTGGGTGACCACCTGGGAACACCGCGTGCCGTTGGCATTCACACATTTGGGACCTGAATGGCCGAGTGTCTAGCGCCCTGGCGCTCGGTGCCACAGGTTTCGAGTTCGAATCCCGGTGGTGGCATGGATGTTTGTAGTGGTTCGGAATCCACTTTAAGCCGTAGGTCCCGGTCTCCTATGACTGTAAGAGCGTCACGGAGCCAAAGTCAGACTGCTACCTACGGGTGCTCCATCACAACAGAAGCTGCTTCATTCCCCTTCAATAATGAGTACGTATGGGCTCGTGGGCTTTGCCAGCCAAGTGGGATAAGAAACAACAACAAACACAATAAACAAAGTAATATAAAAACAAATTTTCTAAAGTCAATTCCTTCTTTTTCTTTTTTCCTTCTTTCAGAAAGTCCTTTATAAATACTTTTCATTCATTTGTTTACGTTTATCTGGCGCCATCTATTGATAGATATATGCAACTTTAAACTAAAAAAATCTAAAATTATGTAATTAAATTTAATTAATAAATTAATATTTGAAAAACCTGTATTAATATCCAGTGTCATCCACTACAAGTTCAAAAAAAAAAAATGTATTTGAATTTGAGTGGATGAATAAAAAGTATTTTATGAACGATTGAAAATTTGAACAAGATATATATAGAGAGAGACTGTGAGCTAATAGAAGGAATTTAAAAAAAACAATAAAAAGCACTATTAAAGACATTCTAAGTTGAGAGTTTGTACGAGCAATATAACTTTAAAAATCCTCTGGGCGACTTCATGCATACAAAAACGATCGGCAGTTTTGAGGATACACAGTCGTAAGAAAAAAATTTCCCATGTGATTAAAAATAAAATAAAAAAATCGTCATTGCTTAAGTTTTGCATAATATGTGTTAATCTTTAGTTGCTTTGGTGTGACTAATCCTCAGAGTCTTGCAGCGGTGGACGGACACCCCGTGAGCAATCTACTAATAGAGGGAGAGAAAGGGGGCAGCTTCTGTTGAGAGGGAGCAGCTGTAGGTATAAGACTGACTTGGCTCCGTCTCGTTGAAGAAGGGGAGCAGTGCCTTCCGGGAGGACTTTTAGGGGGAACTACCCTCCTTTGCGCTTCGTATGGGAGTAAACCCGGAAAACTCCCACAGGTAATCCGAAGTCAAGATTCTGAACACCACAAATACCATCGAGACTCCTCGCTTTTTGAAAAAATTCTATAACAATGCCGCTAGCCAGTGGATTAAACCTCCGCCCTGATGCTCACCAGCGATTGATGTTACCACTGAGCCTAGAGTCGGGTTGTTAATCTTTTGATCAAGCGAATTGAATCAATTTTAAAATACCTGGAAATTTCAAAATAAATAATTTAAATAATTAATAAATGCATTTTATTAAGGAGCAATGCAAGCTGTGAGAAACTTCTTTCAAATAAACAATAGATGAAGAAAAAGAGAAATATCTTTCTTCTTCTTAAGCACTACAGCGGTTCCTGGCCAAGTCTGTCTCAGCCAGCTTCAACCAACCAAGCCCATCCCGACGCTAGTATCCAAGATAAGATCTGTCGGGGTTTTTTTATTTTTATTTTTTTGATTTATTTTTTTTATTTATTTATTATTATTTTAATTTTTTTTTTTTTTTTTTTTTGCCTGAACTTTCTAAGTGTAAGAATTTTCTTTTTACGGTGTAGGATTGTTAGCCTTACGCCCAACTCTCCAATTTGCTGCTCTAAGTTCAACTGTTGCTTACGAGGGATAATTAGAAGGGGACCTACAATTTAAAGTGGATTCCGAACCCCTACTAACATTCATGGCACCGTCGGGATTCGAATCCTGTGATACCGAGCGCCAAAGTGCTAATCACTAGGCCCATCAGGCACCTGAAATACTTTTACTGATATGAAATTTATCTTTACAATTTCTCAAATTATCAATATATAGATACCGTAATCATTCTTTTTGGAGAGTTAAGAATTTAATTGCTTATTCATCATCATAAAATGTGCATGCAATAAATACCTCGATAAATTGTATCTATTCTAAGAAAATAAATAAATAAATAAAGAGTGCGTAACGAAAAGAATCTTTGTTGAATCTATGGATTCAATACTAGGTCACATGCTTCCGCACCTGATCTGAAATACCTATAAGCTATTGATACCATAATGTAAATTTCTTTGCTATCCACAAAGATATACAGACAAAACGTAACTTTTTTCACCTCAATGTTATTCGTTATTATGATAGGAATGTTTTCTTCGGAGAATTAAATTCAATTTATGTTAATAGTAATTTTTAAAAAAACCAAGAAAATATTTCTACAGATGTTTCGTTTCAAAATAATACTGTGTCCAAAAAGTAAGACTAATTTTCAATTTAAACCTCAACAACTTATGGTACAATACTTGCTATGGTACAACTTGCTGGTACTGTCCTTGACATCTGCGTAAAATTTCACGTCAAAATATTCATTAGTATTTGAGTTACGCTTGGCTTTGTGAGACGCTAAAACTGATTCCGACGATTTTTGAAATGTCTGAATTAATTGAGCAAAGAAATTGTATTCAATTTTGTTTGCGGAAACGTATAGAAAGTTGTAGAAGGCATTCGGGGAGCATTCCTATATCGGAAAGAAATGATTACAAGTGGTATTAATAGTTCAAAGAAGGCAGAGAATACGCTGAAGACGAAGAGCGCTCTGGTCGACCATCAACCTCAACCGACGAAGCTCACGTCCAAAAAATTAAATATTGGGTGCTTGCAAACCGATTTACAATTAGAGACCTTGCTGATGATGTTGGAATTTCGAAAGGATAGATCAATACCATTTTGGGCCTCAAACGCGTCAAATCTGGATTTTTACTGAAAACACTGAAAGCGCCAGCTCACACTGTATTGATTCTTCGTGGCTTTTTCGCCAAAAATGAAACCCATATCGTTCCACAACCACCGTATTCCCACCGTGCGACTTCTGACTATTCTCTAAATTCAAAAGACCACTCCGGGGACACAATTTTGAGTCGATTGAAGAGTGCCGCGTGCTTTGAAGGCCATCCTTGCAGATGACTTTTTAGCATGTATTGAGGATTGGAAAAAAAGTTGGCATAAGTGCATTGTGTCCGGAGGTACTTTGAAGGCGATGAAAGAAATTTGAAAGAATAAATAAAGAGGTTTTTTTTTAAATAATAATTGTTCTTACTTTTTGGGCACAGTAGTACTTCCAAAAGACATTTAAAATAATTATTGATTTTTAATAAAATTATTTGGAGAAAATGGGCTAATTTCCATGATTGAAAAAAAAATTGCTCTCCAATAAAATTTTATTTTTATGGATTTCTGTGATGATACCTGTAATCCAAAGTGTGTACATCTAATCCGCATTGACCGATACTTTTGAAATTACAATATCAGCAGCAAGGTTTTTAATTATAAATCAACGGTTTGCAAGCACCAAATCTTTAATTTTTTTGGACGCGAGCTTCGTCGGTTGAGGTTGAGGGTCGGGCAGAGCGCTCTTCGTCTTCAGCCTATTCTCTGCCTTCTTTGAACTATTAATACCACTTGTAATCATTTCTTTCCGATATAGGAATGCTCACCGAATGCCTTCTACAGCTTTCTATATACGCTTCAGCAAACAAAATTTAATGCAAGTTTTTTGTTTAATTAATTGAGACATTTCAAAAATCACCGGAATCAGTTTCAGCGTCTCACAAAGTCGAGCGTAACTCCAACACTAATGAATATTTCGACGTCAAATTTCACACAGATGTCAAGGACAGTGCCAGCAGCAACCTAAAAATGAAAAAAATTGAAATTCCATAAGCCCCGGGAATTTTAAATTGAAAATTTTTCTTACTTTTTGGACACAGTAGTACCGTTCCAATAATATGTATGGTTTATCGCAACGGATATCACCTTGCAAAAAAAAAGTAGATATCGTCATTTGAAATTTTGTCACTGTAACAGTAACTTTTAGAGTTTAACTATTGTTTCTCACAAGATTATTCAGCGCATACCTCAAAATACCTTAAATTTTTGTTCATTTTCTGAGAACTGTATGATAGCTAGAGGCTCATAAATCGTGAAAGTGTTTTTTCATAATCACTCTGTTTATAAAACTTCCACAGGAAAATGACAGGATACTGAGATTCAGATAAAAACAGATAATAAACCGATTTAGATTATTTTAACATAGAATATTTTATTCAGATACATTCCATAAATATTTCGATCTCCTGTTAAGTTTAAGAACCATTGTGCAATTTAACTTAAGAAAAACACTTAAAAGCAAAGAAATACAAAGAGATAAGTTCTATACTACTGTGTCCAAAAAGTAAGACCAATTTTAAATTTAAAATTCCCGGGGCTTATGGAATTTCAATTTTTTTTTTTTTTTTTTTTTTTTTTTTTTTTTTTTTTAGGCCCTGTCCTTGACATTTGTGTGAAATTTGATGTCAAAATATTTATTAGTGTTTGGGTTACGCTAAAAGTGATTTCGGCGATTTTTGAAATGTCTGAATTAATTTAGCAAATAACTTGCATTAAATTTTGTTTGCGGAATGAATATTCGTGTGCGGAAACATATAGAATGAATAGTAGAAGAATAGCAGAAGGCATTCGGTGAGCAAACTATATCAGAAAGAAATGTTTACAAGTGGTATATACAGAAGGCAAAGAACGTGTTGAATACGAAGAGCGCTCTGGTCGACCATCAACCTCAACCGACGAAGCTCACTTCCAAAAAATTAAAGATTTGGTTCTTGCAAAGCGTAGGTTTACAATTAGAGACCTTGCTGACAAATGTTGGAATTTCAAAAGGATCGGTCAATTCCATTTTGGGCCTCAAACGCCTTCAAATCTCGATTGGTACAGAAAACACTGAATGCGCCAGCTCACACTGCACTGATTCTTCGTGACCTTTTCGCTAAAAATTAAACCTATATCGTTCCACAACCACCGCATTCACACCGTGCAACTTCTGGCTTTTCCCTAGACTCAAAAGACCACTCCGGGCACACCGTTTTGAATCGATTGAAGAAATTCGACG